AGAGATAGTAGGAACTGCAGATGCTGGAGAATCCGAGACAACAAGGTGCAGGGCTGGATGAACACAGCAGGCCAAGCAGCATCATAGGAGCAGAGAGGCTGACGTTTCGGGCCTAGACCTTTCATCAGAAAAGGGGGAGGGGAAGGGGGTTTTGAAATAAATAGGGAGAGAGTGGGAGGCGGATAGAAGAGGGATAGAGGAGAGGAAACAAACAGGTCGAAGAGGCGGGGATGGAGCCAGGAAAGGTGAGTGTAGGTGGGGAGTTAGGAAGGGGATAGGTCAGTCCAGGGAGGACGGACAGGTCAAGGGGGCGGGATGAGGTTGGTCGGTAGGAGATGGAGGTGCGGCTTGAGGTGGGAGGAGGGGATAGGTGGGAGGAAGAACAGGTTAGGGAGGCAGGGACGAGCTGGACTGGTTTTGGGATGCGGTAGGGGGAGGGGAGATTTTGAAGCTTGTGAAATCCACATTGATACCATTGGGCTGCAGGGTTCCCAAGCGGAATATGAGTTGCTGTTCCTGCAACCTTCGGGTGGCATCGTTGTGGCACTGCAGGAGGCCCAGGATGGACATGTCGTCTGAGGAATGGGAGGGGGAGTTGAAATGGTTCGCGACTGGGAGGTGCAGTTGTTTGTTGCGAACCGAGCGTAAGTGTTCTGCAAAGCGGTCCCCGAGTCTCCGCTTGGTTTCCCCGATGTAGAGGAAGCCACACCGGGTACAGCGGATGCAGTATACCACATTGGCAGATGTGCAGGTGAACATCTGCTTGATGTGGACAGTCTTCTTGGGGCCTGGGATGGGGGTGAGGGAGGAGGTATGGGGGCAGGTGTAGCACTTCCTGCGGTTGCAGGGAAAAGTGCCGGGTGTGGTGGAGCTGGAGGGGAGTGTGGAGCGGACAAGGGAGTCACGGAGAGAGTTGTCCCTCCGGAAAGCAGATAAGGGTGGGGAGGGAAAGATGTCTTTGGTGGTGGGGTCGGATTGCAGATGGCGGAAGTGTCGGAGGATGATGCGTTGGATCCGGAGGTTGGTGGGGTGGTACGTGAGGACGAGGGGGATTCTTTTTTGGTTTTTATTGCGTGGACGGGGTGTGAGGGATGAGGTGCGGGAGATGTGGGAGACACGGTTGAGGGCGTTCTCGACCACCGAGGAGGGGAAGTTACGGTCCTTGAAAAACGAGGACAACTGAGATGTACGGGAGTGGAATGCCTCATCCTGGGAGCAGATGCGGCGGAGGCGAAGGAATTGGGAACAGGGGATAGCATTTTTGCAGGAAGGTGGGTGGGAGGAGGAGTATTCTAGGTAGCTGTGGGAGTCGGTGGGCTTGAAATGAATATCGGTTTCTAGGTGGTTGCCCGATATGGAGACAGAGAGGTCCAGGAAGGGGAGAGAGGTGTTAGAGATGGTCCAGGTAAACTTAAGGTTGGGGTGGAAGGTGTTAGTGAAGTGTATGAACTGTTCGAGCTCCTCGTGGGAGCACGAGGCGGCGCCGATACAGTCATCAATGTAACGGAGGAAGAGGTGGGGTTTAGGGCCGGTGTAGGTACGGAAGAGGGATTGTTCCACGTAACCTACAAAGAGGCAGGCGTAGCTTGGGCCCATGCGGGTACCCATGGCTACCCCCTTTGTCTGTAGGAAGTGGGAGGAATTGAAAGAGAAGTTGTTGAGTGTGAGGACGAGTTCGGCTAAGCGGATGAGGGTATCAGTGGAGGGGGACTGGTCGGGCCTGCGGGACAGGAAGAAGTGGAGGGCCTTAAGGCCATCTGCATGGGGAATGTAGGTGTAGAGGGACTGGACATCCATGGTAAAGATGAGGTGTTGGGGACCGGGGAATTGGAAGTTCTGGAGGAGGTGGAGGGCGTGGGTGGTGTCACGGACATAGGTAGGGAGTTCCTGGACCAAGGGGGAGAAAATGGAGTCGAGATAGTTGGAGATCAGTTTGGTGGGGCAGGAGCAGGCGGAGACAATGGGTCGACCAGGGCATTCAGGTTTGTGGATTTTGGGAAGGAGATAGAAGCGGGCAGTGCGGGGTTTTTGGGAAGGAGATAGATATGTCGGACGCGAACAGAAGGCATATAAACACCGAGACACAGCACGTGACTGTTGCACACTGAATACTTTCGTTTGATTAAAGCAGACTTATCTAACTCACAACTTTGTGTCCCAAGTTTACTCTTCTGCACTAGTGAAGTCAGTGGGGTGCTGATATCTTTAGAATGCATTACCTTCTATTAATTATAACCGACTACACTACTGCAGCACACTTCAATAAGAATCAGGATCGCTCAGCCCGTGCTCGGGGAGGCCGCCTCAACCTCAACAGAAAGTCCACAAGCAGCTCCCGCCGTAACGTTCTTAGAATGTCTGTCTGTCCGACCGAACGTTCCCTCATACAATTCCACAATCCTTTGTCCTTCCCCCCCCCAACATTGTAGACCTCAGCGTTCCACAGTCCTTTATTTCCCAGAATGTTGTAGACCTCAGCGTTCCACAGTCCTTTATTCCCCAGAACGTTGCAGACCTCAGCGTTCCACAGTCCTTTATTCCCCAGAACGTTGCAGACCTCAGCGTTCCACAGTCCTTTATTCCCCAGAATGTTGCAGACCTCAGCGTTCCGCTAGCCTTTGTTCCCCGAATGTCACACTCCTCAATGTTCCACTGTCGGCGATTCTATCACCCTCACTATTACAACGTGCTCACCCGAATGAGTCAGACCGTCCAACCCGGAAAAAGAAAAACCTCTCGCTAAGTAGGCAATCGCGCCATCCAGAGGCAAGGAGTCTCTTCTGCCTCACCGATTTAAAGTTACAAGGAAGTGCAAGAAACGCGCGTTCAATGTAATGGTATTTCACCAAGATTGTCCAAAAAATCCATATGGCAATGTGTGTGTAAAATGTACATACACGGAAGTTCTTTTCTTGGCTTTCTGGTTCGCCTATGAATCAATAATGACTACAATTCAAATCAATTGATTAGTTAGAAAATTTAATGAAGTTTAATCCCAACAAAATATTCGCCCTTCTCTCGTCTGGCATTCTGGAATCTTCCTCGCTCATGTATGCATAGAGCAATAGATGAAGAACTAAGTATAAATAAATTTTTGTCATCAATATCAGTTTTGTAAATTTAGGTTTCACAGAAAGTGTTACACTTAAACTGGAATCAATAAACTACCTAAGGTTTCAAATAGGATTGTACGTACAATGTAACCTAATTCTGCTTCAATTTTGTTTCGAATCAGTTCTTACTTGAGAACTCACATGATGAATCTCATGATCAACATTGTATTATCCCACACCCTCATTGCCCATCTCCTCACCGAGTTAAATTGGTTCCTGATGCCACAACATCACAAATTTCAAATTATTACACTGCAATTTAAATCGCTCCTTAATTTTGTTTTAGCAAATAGTAATAAGATTTTTAGCTTGCAAAGGTTTAACCACATAAAGTTGAAATTGAAGTTTATATGATCATAAGATATAGGAGTGGCAGTAGGCCATTCAGATCATTGGAGTCTGCTCTGCCATTTGTCGAGATCATGGCTGACCTGATAATCCTCAATTCCCTTTCCTGTCTTTCTCCCCCTCACCTTAGATTCCCTTACTGATTAAAAATCAGACAATCTCAATCTTGAATATATTCAATGACACAGCTTAAGCCTTCTGTGGTAAAGAATTCCACAGATTCATGACCCTTTGAGAGAACAAATTCCTGCTTTGACCTAATTGGGTGACCCCTTCCTCTGAGATTACTCTTTCTAAGACTAAACTCTCTCAAAGGGGAAAACAGTCTGTCCACATCTACTCAGCCAAGTTCCCTAAGAATCTTACAAGTTTCAATAAGGTCACCTTTCATTTTTCTAAACCTCACTGAGTACAGGCCCAAACCACTCAACCTCTCCTCATCAGACAATCCCTTCATACGTCAAATCAACTTCGTGAACTTTCTCTGGACTGTCTACAATGGCAATATACCTTTTCTTGGATAAAGGACTTAAAGTATTCCATGTATTCCAGATGTAGTCTAATTAGTGCCTGGCATAGCTTAAAGAAGACTTGCCTTTTTTTTAACTCCATTCCCTTTGAAATAAAGGTCACCATTCCATTTGTCTTGTCTATTAACCGCTGAACTTGTACGCTAGCTCTTTGTGATTTATACACAAGGAACCCAAATCCCTCTGAGCTAAAGCTTTCTGAAGTCTTTCTCCATTTAATTAATATTCAGCTCCTCTATTCATCTTGCCAAAGTGCAAAATCTCACATTTTCCCACATTGCTGGCAGATAATGGAATTTGAATTCAATAAAAAAAATCTGGAATTAAGACATGACCATAATAATAACCATGAAACCGTTTTTGATGGTCAGAAAAACCGACCTGGTTCACTAATATCATTGAGGAAAGGAAACTGCTGTCCCTACCTGATCTGGCCTACATGTGACTCCAGACACACAGTACTGTAGTTAAGTTGATTTCACTGCCCTCTGGCAATTAGGATGGGCAATAAATGCTGGTTTAGCCAATGACGCCCTTATCCCATGAATGAATTATTAAAAATGTGCCAGATTTTCAAGCATCTGTTTAACCTGCCTGTATCCTTCTGAAAAATCGTTGTGTCACTACTTGCCTTCTTGCCTATTTTTGTGTCATCCACAAACTTAGCTATAACACATTCACTAGCCCCATCCAAGGAAGAAATATATATTGGAAGTAGTTGTGTACCCAGCATTTATCCCTACGGCACTCTACTACTTACAAGTTGCCATTCTGAACAGGCTCCACTCAATCCAACTCGATGTATTTTCTTAGCTAGTCTCTGTCCATGCTAATGTACCACCTCCCACACTGTGTGCTGTTAAGTAGCTTAATACACAGGACCTTATTAAGCAGCTTCTGGAAATCCAAATATGTTAAATTCACTGCTTCCGTTTTCTCTATGCTGCTTGTTACTTCCTCAAAAAATTCTTATAAATTTGTCAGGCATGATTTTCCATTCATGAAGTCATGCTGAATCTGCTTGATTATATTACGTACGGACAGTTCTGTTATAATGAGTGTGCTGTCAGTGCAAATTGGCCGTAACACGATTGATGAAAAGGGAAACACTATTTCTAAAACGCAAACTTGTGTTGGCTATAACGTGATTCCATCGGTTCATGGAGGAGTACACATCAATGTCACATGGGCTTTGTTGTGAATATGTATAATGTTGGTGCCGAAAGAGTGTCTGCACCAGCATCACGTGATCATTTTGTGGGCTTTGTCATGAAGTGCTTTCTGTGTGAGGTACAGTACAACCTCCTCCCCCATTAAGTCATCTTGACAATTTTTCAAGGTAACGTGTTAAATTTACGTTTATTTCATTATTAGATATGAATTAAACATTTATTCAAATTGTGCTATCCTTTGTGTTAGGCTTTTGAGTGATTTTTGAGCTTAAAAAAGTGATTTTTATTTTTGGTTGTCTGCCCCTAACCCCACTTTTCCCATAGGTCCTGTTATTTCTATAGCACAACTTTCTATAATGCGATTTTGCACAGGAAAGTGACGATCGCGTTATGGCAGAACCCCCTGTATTTCAAAATGCTGTACAATTACATCCTTTATAATGGACTCTAACAATTTTCCCAACAATTGATGTTAAGGTAACTGGTCTAATAATGACCTTATTTTTGTCTCCTTCCCTTTTTGAAAAATTGTGTTACAAGTCTCCCCTTTTGCTGAAAAGTACAAATCCTGCCAAGATGATGACGATGAGTAGAAATTGTACCATCTAATCAAAAGCATAACTGGACAATCTCTGCTGGATAGGAAGGACAGCCTGAACACAAATACTTTTATTTTCAGTGATAATGATGAAACTAGCAGAAGTCCAGTCCACTGAAATAGGTAGAATCAATGATGACATGCCAATGACAGGATTGTTTATTTTTTATTGTTTCATGAGATGTGAGCATGGATGGCTGGGCCAGCATTTGTTGCCCATGCCAAATTGCCCTTGCAAAGGTGATGTCTATTTGAACTAATGCTATCTTTGTGGTGTTGGTAAATCCATAGTCATTTCAGAAACTGAGTTCTAGGCTTTTGTCCCACCAATTGTGAAAAATTAGCTGTATCGTGCAATGTCAGGATCACGTGTGGATAAAAAGGAAACTTCTACGTGGTTGTATCCTTTTGTGTTTGCTGCCCTGGCCCATCTAGATGGTAGAGGTCACAGGTTTGGAAGGTGCTGTTGAAACTGTCTATATTGTTGACTGATGGGGAAAGTGAAGTTGAAGGAAATCAGTTTTGACAAGGCTGTGGATCCAATCCAACCTGTCCAATGTTGCATACCAGTGGCTTCATGAAATAACTGAAAGTAACCTTGAATTGTTTGGTAATACAGAACAACATTGCTGCTGACACAATGCTGACCTAATCTATCAATTCAGTGGTGATCATACATCTGATGAATGGCACACAATGCATTTGCTTGGGTCCCTGATTTAAGCAAAGCTGTAAATACAGTGCTAAAATCTTCTTGATTTTCACTGCTCAGAATTGATTTAGATATCTGTCTCTCAATTGTCTTTTTTGGTGCAGGAGCAGGAAGAGAACTCATTACTGAGGATGATCTGACTGAAATCAGAAGCAATTGATGGTAGTCACACTGAGGTAGATAAACAGGAGGCTGGAAGAACACAGCAAGCCAGGCAGTATCTGGAGGAAAGGAGCAGTCAAAGTTTTAGGTATTACCCTTCTTCAGTGTCACACTGAGATTGACAATAGTGGAATAATTAGTTATAGCAATCCTTACATGCACCAATCTTGATAAAGAAAATTTTGTTATGCATTGCAAGAATATCTGTCTTTCATGATGTCACACATTTCACAAGTGCATTTATTTTGGCTCTGCCTCGTCTCTGTTCCAACTTTTGGGTTCTTTATACACCTTTTGTGCTCTTGGGTCTGCCCCACTTGTAGAAATATTGTTAACTGTGCAAAATACATTTTCAATAGATTTCCTGCTCCCATCTATTGACATTGTTTAGTGTTAGGGACAATTAAATTCTGACTGCACTTACTCTAAGAAAATAGTTATTTCACTTGCTGTATTTGACCGAAATTATTTAAAGCTCACCACAGTGTTTATTTGCAATATGGTGCTGTCTATCCACCAGAAATCTCAGTTGACTAAATTCCAGCATAGAAACAAAACCATTAAGAGCACACTTATTGGAAGGTTGGTGCTGTGTTACAGATCACTCAAGGACTATTAGTTGCTATGACAGCATACACCTTCACATACATGTAGTGTGAGTAGTGATGCTGAAGCTCCAACTTACTTTCCCTGGCTCCCATTCTTACCACCTGCTTTCAGTATGTTCTGGAAGGATTTGCAGGTCAATACTTAACCTGTTTGGTCATATTATGAACTCACCTTCCTTAACCATCAGTTCCTGGAGTAGAACTTAAACACAGAGCTTCTAAGACAGAGATGCTACCCATTATACTGTGGGATGTTCCATATTAACAGACTATCTTTGAAAAAAGATAGATTTACAGTGTATTGTGTTAAATTGACAAGTAAGGAGATATAGACAACTTGAATTAATATTGAAGCTTTAAGCCACAATAAGTGAATTCAGAAGATTGAACTTTAAGTGATGATCCATTACATTCAGGGAGAAGAGCTTTGCAAATTGTTTATTTTATCAACCTCACAGTAGGTACTTGTTTCTTTCTGCATGAAGTAATCTCACGTAAAACAGAAATTTTGTGCCGCACCAATGATCTGTCAACAT